GGCTGCTGTGGCTCTTACCTGCCTTTGCTCTCAAGCAGCAGTTGCTACATCTACAGCTTCTGCTATAGCAGCATGGACTTAGGCTGCTGCAGCTAATTGCTGCACGCTGGTGCAATAGCCTGGTGATATGCACGCTCCAGGGCCTGCTCCTGATGCCCCATTCACTCCGTTTCCCCCCTCAGATACACTTCTGGGCACAGGGCTTTGCTTCCCACAGCAAAGCCTCTCATGGGGGAGGGCTGCCATTCTACCTGCCTTGCTCATCCCCCGCCTTCATGGATAAACTGTGGGGTATGGGGCTGTTCTTGCCAGCACCGATGACTGGACTGTGCCTGGCAGGTAAAAGATTCCTATGGAGAGGAGGCCAGCCCCTTCTAAGTTGGCACCTAGGGCTGGTGCCCTGCTTGCTCCCTCTAATTACGCTACTGGGCCTCAATGTTTTGTCCAGGCACAGGAGAATATAAGAATTTTGTGCTACAAATGCAATGTGGGAGTCTAGAATTAAAGACTCCCATGATTTTAAATTGCTTTGGTAATAAGCAGACAATGAAATGAACCACCTTAGGGTCCAGTGTTTCCTTGGTTTTACACCAGTTTAAATCCATTGACTTCAGCAAGACCTATTGGTGTAATCAAAATCAGAATTTTTTCAGGGGACTTTGCCATTTTCTCCACGTTTCCCTCTGTCTTGCTTCCATGTGAGCTGTCCGTGTTCAGCACTGAAATTTCAGGCTATCTTTTTTCTTTCACTAAAATTGGACTCAAGTACCTGACTTTAGACACCTTGATTTCCATGTTGACCATGGAGTTAATTGTCACTGGTATATTATTGGCACTGTTGCCCATATTCAGCTTTGCATAAACAGATGTGACAGAATAGGCCTGGCAACTGGTAATTGTGTGTGAACAAGTAAGTTTTCAAGTAATGAAACTGTGTTTCAACTTGCTACCTTAAATAGACTTCAGACTGAAATTTTGTAATATTTCTTCCTGACTATAGTGTCTGCCTTCTTTTACCACTTTTTCAATGTATTCATTGCTTATGAAACAGCCTCTTCTACTTTGGCATTCTGACAGGGGATTATAGCACTTTGCAGACTCACTCTGCCTTCCAGCTAAGTTGAACATTATATTAAAGCTCTAATGCAGCAGAAGCATTTGAAAGGTTTGAAACACTTTGGTCAATTTTCTTCAATTGCATTCTAAGTGAATTAAATGCCCTTGAAAGGTATCTTCCAGCCCAAGAGACTGGTACTCCATTCGTAACCACATTATGAGTAGAGCCAGCAGCAAATATTTTTACACCATGCAACTCAAATGCAAGAGTCCATGCTCTGCTTTGCTAATGTGCACCACTGCTAACTTATTAGAGACTACTGCTAACTAGGCACCCACCCCTCATGGCAAGTAGGATTGAGTGTCTGACTATTTTATTCTCAGTCTTTCTGTTTCTCTCAGTATTTTCTTCTAAAGGTATATTCTTAAATTAGCACTGTACACTGAACAAAGTCGAGGTTTGGAAGAAATACTTAATTTAAAGAGTAGGTCTGTGCAGTCACGGCAGTCATTTAAATTTGCCTCCACTGCTTTCATAGTAGCTAGGGTCAGGAGGGACCTGAACAGATCATCTAGCCTGACCCCCTGCCACAGGCAGGAATGAATGCTGGGGTCACAAGACCCCAGACAGGTGATCGTCCAACCTCCTCTTGAATTTGCCCA